AGAGAGAGGGGTGGGGAATGCAAAAGCTCTCAGATGAAACAAAAACGGAGTGAAGCTTCAAAAAAAATTCAGAGAAAAACAATTGAAAACTGGCAAACACACCACACACAAGAGGACCTGAACAGGGGTGCCCACCCCCGCCCAAGCAGTACATTATAAATCCTACCCCCAAAACATATACAAAGCCTACAGTGAATAGGTTTTGTTATATTGAGGCAGAATTAGTGTAATGTCTTACAACCTCTTTGGGGATACCAAGAGCAGACTAGGGAATCAAAAAGGTGAGTAAAAGTAAAAACAGGAAAGCTACAAGTCACATGATGGCAAAGAAAAAGACACCCTTCCCCCTCCCCTAGGGCCAGGGCCTGGCCTTCAAACCTCTAAGCCCCTAAAACCGGGAGAAAATAAAATTTGCGAAAGAGTCACTTATGGGATTTGTCATAGCAGCTCTAGGTAACCATGACTACCATAATGCTTGAAAAGTAGGCCTTTTCAGATGCTGCTAGTATACTTGTCACTAAGTTTAAAACATACCCATTCTTTCACCTGAAGGCGAATGCTCCAACTCGTTATCAACTCTTGTTCAAGTTTAGGGCAGTTTCCCCGCAACCATTACAAAGTCAGCCCCAGGGCCACTAACACTGTAGCCCAAGAGAAGCCTACTTCTGACAGGCATTTTAATATGCTAGTGTGTATGCAACAAAGACAGGACAGCCAACCTATCATGGCATGGTACACAGTAGCCTGGCTTTACACACCTAAGCAAACCCTTGGTCTGCCCCCGAAATTGGTTTTCCTTTTAGGGAGTACCTTCCCCACTTTGCACTTTCATATGGAGAAGGGGAATGGGGGAAAGCGCAGCATAAATAAAAATGTAAAAAGTCAAAAATAAAAGGAAGAAACTATCCCAAGCTAAAAGTACTGGTGTGAAACAAAGGAGGCAGGTTTCACGTATTGTAGCCTGCTTATGGGAAGAAAAACAACACAAGAGCCAACTGCAACATCTCAAGGTTCAGAGGATTGAGAAAAGCAACATTTCAGCAAGAGGAAGGCCCACTGGAAGCGACTCACTGCTCTGCGTCTGTCCGTAGGAAGAACCATAGCTGCTCTGGCCATAGCCTGATGTGTCCGCTGACTGGCCATAGCCACCATAGCTCTGCTGACCGTAAGGCTGATTGCTCTGCTGGGAGTAGCCCTGCCCAGGTTGGGTGGGATAGGCTCCGTAGCTGGACAGGAAAAAAATCACCACAGATGAGAAAAAGACACCTTGGTCACCAGGCCTTTGCAAACCCTGAGATCCAGTATTAAACACGACTCACCTTTGGGTTGCTTGTTGGGTGTAGTCTGCGAAAGAAAAAGCACAAATCACATTACTTTCAGAACAGAGAACAAAAAAATCTCTTCATCTGGGGCCCTCCAAGAAAATCAACCAACAAAGCTCTACACGGGACTTAAGTACACACACACACACCCCCCAAGACGGAGCCCAAATGCCCAAATGCTGGACACACAGGAAATGCCAGTGCCTGCCACCATTTTCCACAGAGGAAATGGTCTGGGGCTGGGGTCAGCCAACTGCAGCTGCGTGCGTGCCTCGTGCCGACTCTTTCTTTCAGTCAAGAGATGGGGCTCAGAAGTGAAATGGGAAAAAAACAGGAAAGGCTACCAGTCAAAAAGAATGGCCATTTCATTTGCTTGTAAAAATGTATTTATGGGGGTGGGGGTGATGTATCTATGGCTTCCGAATTAATTTTTAAATTCTTGCCAGGGACAGAATGGGCTCCTCCGTCTCAAAAGTTTGCCGAACGCTGGGCCATCCCTTTCATCACCACCACCCTGCCGCCCAGACAGGAGTCGCAGAGAGCCGGCTGGGCCCTAAGCTGCAAAGGGCCCGGGTCGGTCCTCGGCACCCTGGTCTCCAGAGCCCGTGTCTGCCCCGTCTTAAAGCTTGGCCAGAGGGGGCTTTCCACCCACCGCCAAGCCAGGCTGGCAAATGAAGGGAAGCCCCCTGACCCCAAATGGGGGCGCCAGCCATCAGTTTAATATGTCTTCGCCCCACAGCGCTAACGTGGCTCCTTTCCTCGTGCGCCCGGCTGCCTCGGCGCTCTGGGGCCACATAGCAACCGACGGGCCTTTAACGCCAGGCCCAAGGCGTCCCGGGCTGCATCTCCCGCAGGAGAGCGCCTATGGGGGAGGGTGTGGCCTCGCGCGCCCCGCCGGCCCGTTTCCATCCCCCAGGGGCGCAATCTAGGCGGGAAAAGGCCGGGTGG